CTGTCCTCCTGGGACCGCAGACCCACGAGTATCTTTCAGAAGCATCTCACAGGAAGCCACCTTCTCGCGTACTTGTCGTTCGTGAATACTCAATTCTAATTGCACAATTATTTCTGTCTCTATTCTCGTCATTCTTTTCTAAACCTAATAGTTCTATCTTTCTGTGGTATAAATAGGAACAGAAATTTCAATTTAGTTCCATATATCGTTTTTAAGCAAAACGTCCAGATTTCTTCTCCATCGAAGTAAACATGTTATTAAAGGAACGTATATCTAATCTTCCGTCAATTGTAAATCATCCTGAATCATCGTTGTCACATGTAGGTTTGGATACAAGGCTTAAATTATGGCTGATTGGAATAAAAATGGCAAAATAAAATTGCAAAACAAGCTGAAACTCGTGCCGAAAGGATCGCCATAAAGCGCGATTCGAACGTCCGCGGTTCTTCATCAGTGATACTTCTTTCGATGGTCATCCTGCAATCTGCACGAGGTAGCGGAATGCATTAAAAAGTGCCGTCACCATTTACGGTTGTCATCTTGCATGAATAAGATGAAACTACGGTGAGGTTGACTACAAAAGAACGTTGCCTTTTAGAATTCTCGGCTTTTGCCGAATATGTCCCTTCCCAATTTCGAGTCCATTAATGAATCGTGACAAGGACTCTATATTTTCGATAATATTACATTTGATTGCCATATCGCTTAGAGAAACACCCGAATCACCCGTCATTGACAGAATGCATTCCGATAGAGTTGTCAAATGATTATAGCGAATTAGCATTTCTCCATAAAATTTGTATTGTAGGTCTAGTTTAAATTAGATCGATGTAAACGAATAGTAAAATATATTATTGGCTGTTTCATATAATTTTTTATTTAATATCGAATATTTTTTTTAATTTAATCAGCTTTTTTTGCTCATATATTTTACTCATTATTTCTCAAATTTCTTCGATATAAAACCCGTTAAAAGTTTTCGAATAAAATCCATTTCTATAATTTCATCACATCTTTTCACTAACTTCCTCAAGTTGCCAAAACTATAGTACACTTTTCGATTAGATACACACATTTCTGACTTATTCTCTTTTGCAGTGTAAATAAATAAACTTCTAAAAACACCACTCTATAGTGGTGCGGGTCGTTCTCCATGCAAAAGCTAGCCGGAAACAATAGAAACGAGAGAGGCTGGTCGACACGCGTGCAAGATAGTCACGGTCACGGCGGTCACGTGCGCTATGTGCATCGCACCGTATACTATGCATCATGTATCGTGTGTGTGTGTGTGTGTGTGCGCGCGCGGAAAACCAAGAGCTCGTGCTTTTGTACCGTTTGCTACCAATGTGCCGGTGGATTCAATTTAGTTGACGGGGTCATTTCGCGAACAAAAAGGAGAAAGGGAAAAAGGAAATGACCGCGTCCGTAAACACCGGAAAATGATCAATGACAAACCTGTTCCGTTGCGTGTTGCGCAGGTCGAAAACGTGAGTCTGTGCGTGGGAGCGCTGCGGGCTTTGGGAGCGGACGTGGGCGCCGTGAACCCGGCCGAATTGGCGGCAGGATCAACCCTGTGGCCGGTCCTGGCTCTGTTGTTCGCTCTGTCGCGCTACAAGCAGCGAGCCAAGCAGTTGCAGGACATGCCCAGGTGAGTGAGTTGTATCCTTTCAGACTTTCGTAGAAAGTTTACTGATAAGTCGCTGACGAATATGACGATATACGATACACGATATATGATGTTGGAAAAAAACTTGTAATCTTCAGAACACTTGAGGGTTGAATTTTTTTATTTTAGATGTTTATTTATTTTTTTCGAGATTTACAGAAACGTAAAATATTCAATGTTTAAAATTTTTGAATTTCTGCAAATGAGATTCATATAGTATAAGCTTTTAGATTGTAAAACATTTAGACATATCCTTAAATTTTAGGATCTCACGTATCTTTTAATATTCTAAATGTTTATATTCTTCAGTCCGTAAAATTATAATCTATTCTAACTCTAGAAATAATGTATCTTTGAAACCGTAAAGTTTTCTTCAAATAAATCGTTGACATACGCTGTGCATTCTATATATAAATTTTAAAATTTAAAACCGTCTTTCTCTTTTAAAATCGTTAAAACGAATTCTCAACTGTACCGATAGAGGAAGAAAAAGAGAAAAAGAAAGAGATATATATCGGTTATATATCGGCATATATATATATATATATATATATATATATATATATATATATATGCCGATATATAACCGATATATATCTCTTTCTTTTTCTCTTTTT